TACTCTATCTTATTCTTCTATTTATTCTGATTTATTTTGTCTTTATCTCATCTCCTTTGGTTTTCTATTCTTCATTTTCCATTATCCTTGGGTTTATCCTAAAATTATCATTATATCACCGACTAGGCTCGGGATGTACTGGCGCGCTATATCTAGTGGGATCCGGCCGTAATCCCTTAAAGCAAATAGCCTCGCGTGGCTATACATAGGGTGATTCTATTTCTAGAAGGGTCTATTCCCCTTGGATAGGATAAATCCGGTTACTTGATGTACCTTGGAAGTATAAAAGCACCTTGTATCGATCGATAGTGCAAATTTTCCTCGACCAATTCGATCCTGTAACAGACTCATCCTCTATTGTGATCGGACGGCCGGTTGCGCTCCCAGTTCTAGCTCAATCTTGTGATCGTGTAGTCGTTCAGATGGTACACTGGGCTGTAGGTTGTTGGGAAAAATCTTCTCGAATTTGCCCTCATCAGTAGGGGGCCCGACTGCTACTGATGCTGCTCATTTCCAAGATTCCTTCCGTCGTTAGCTCCCGATTTCTGCAACTCCAGACACCGCGTGATGTGCCTCGGCTGGCCACATTTATAACACCTGCTAGAGAATCTGTTATCTGACGGTGCCGCCGCGCCATTGATGGATGGGTAAATGTTCTTCCCTTGAAAACGGCGTAACTCACTGAAATTCGTCCTCGGCCATACACTGTTCTCGTCCCATGCCTCTGCGACCTGCTGCACCTCCAAGAATTTCTCCGGGCGGCGCATGCGAATTTCGCGCTGGACCTCCTACTTCAGCCCTAGGATGTATCGACACATTTTTTCCGTGTCATGTAGGTCGTCGATTTCGTCGCAGGTGGCGAGGAAGGATGACGTGTACTCTAGCACAGAGCCCATTTGACGCAACCTGTGCAGCTTCACACGAGCGTTTTCGCATGCGGATACATGCTCGAAACGCCTGCAAAGCAGTGCATCCCACTGTTGCAGGTAAGGATCTCGGTCACACCAAATAAGGATCCTGTAGAAGTCGAAGCCAATCGTTGCTCCCGTCCATCACCTGTTGCCGGTCTGCCAGAGTCCCTCATGACGTCACGCACTGTCGCCACCAACTTAATGCAGGCCCGCGTTATAAAGACACCGCCAACTTGACGCGTGCCTCATCGTCGTTGATAAGAACAGTTCCATGGCAAACAGCCATCCACTCAGCGTGGTGTGCTTCTCCAATGGGTTGAACGGCAGGCCATTGCACGTTTTATCTCATGACTGCCCGTCGCTCGCTCTTACTGTCGTCACGTATCGCTGATGTCACCTGCGGTTTATGCGCGCTCGCACGATCTTCGTCCACGATAACAAGCAACTCCTGACGTGTCACATTACGTGCCTGGCAAAGGCTCACGTTCTCCTCTTTCAACGGGGCGAGCTCCAGGGCCATGGCCTCCATCTTCGCCATCATATTGCCGACCTTCGTCGTCAGCACTCACGCGGTTGCTGCCGCCTCTGACAACTCAGCTATTTGCTCGGGAGTCATATTTCTAGTACTACGGCGAAGAGGGCTATTGACCATGAATTACACTAAGAGCGTGTTCTTACGAGCCTCTTCCCAGGCAACCTCTTCCCAGACTTACGCGCGACCTTGATAGCGTGTTCCCAGGACCCCTTTTTGGAATAATCCCGTTTCATATTTGCGCTCCAACACTCTCAACTACATAAAAACAGCTGGCGTCGAAAATTTATTGTGCAAATTCGCGCTTGTCTGAAAATATGTTCGTCTGAAAAGAGGTTTTAAAACACGCCCCTGAATCCCGAAAAGTTGAATCTCACTTCGCACTTCGCGGAACCGCACTGAAACATTTCGCGACAAAATTTGCGACATTGTAGCACGCGAGTTTGGGAAGAGGTTGCTTGGGAAGAGGCTGGTAGGAATACGCTCTAACTAGCTAACGCCACTAAAGACAATACGGGCACCTACAGCGTTAGAGACGTGGAGCGCACACGACAAATTCGGCGGAACTGAAGAAGTTGTTGCACGACCGTTGGACGGCTACTATCTCCTAACGTGCGAGGTCCCTATAAAAACGACCTCACTACGGAAGCCTAAATGGGTAGGAACGTAGCTCTAATACCAGCTGTTATGATAATTTCTGGATAGGAGTCGAGTAATACAAGTGTCGAGTAAAAATGTGTCGAGTAAAAGTGAGGTCGTGATAAAAGTGTCGAGTAAAAATGAAGCATAGGTCTAAATACAAGCACAGCTAACCTACCAAGGAAGCCTCGAGGAAGGTCACGAAACGCACGTGAGGTGGGGGCCGTTCGCCGGCCAATTTTACAGTGGCACGGAGAGGAAGGGCTGGCATGCGGAACATAAAACTCATACCACCAAGGTCATGGTATTGAGAGGAGGGGCTTCGGCATGGCGCGCAGAGCTGGTTGTCAAGAAGCTAGGCTAGATAGGAATAGGAGGAGCCATGAATATGGCATGAGATTAGATCTAGGAGGTAGGAAAGTGTAGAGAGAGAAGAGAGTCTCGACTAGAAGAGAATGAGGTACAAGAAGGGGGTTATCCCCTCTATAGTAGGATGCAGTTAGTAGCATAACTACCAAGCCTACAATTATATAAAATTTAATTTTCACACACCCCTAGGCTTGGTAGTCACAAGCCCACCCAACACCCACACACCCTCTAATCCCGTACACCCTCATGCTCGTGAGCAGCCGGGTATCGACCCCTCGTGCTAGGCGATGACACCCCCGGACGAGAGGCAGCTGGCGGCATCTGGGCGGCCTCAATGACGACAGCGGCGGAGCTCGTGCTCAAGGCGGCTGCGTCGATGAAGGCAGGCGGCGACTGCAGCGGCTGAGGGCTCTCGGCGGTGTGGCACGACCCGGCGACAACCGAGCCGAAGACAGCAGCTGCGGCAGGAGGAAGAGGAGACGCAAGGAGAAGGGGTGGGGTGGGGAGGAGGGGCGAATTTTCAAATCTTCAGCGCGACGCCAGGACTGGCGCAGCGCTTACTGGCGGGCAGGCGGACTGCAAGTCCAGCGACTGCAGCCCGACGACAGCTGCTGCAGCCCGACGCCACTGTCACGGCACCGATACGACGCCTCCACAGCGTGGCGTCGGAGCCGCGGCTGCTCGTCGGAGCGAAGACAGCAGCGCACAGAAGCCGTCGCGGCATTTTGAAAAACAAGAATGTGCCACGGCGGTAGGAAGTCGGAAGGCCGCGATGGCGGCGAACTAAAAACGAATACGCAGCGGAAGCGTAGTGAGCAGGCCCGGGACGGGCGGCCTGCTCTGAAACCATGTCAAGAAGCTACCGTAATCCCCCGTATATAACACCCGCCGAAATAGTCACTCCGCGGGTGGTTTATGCGGCGGAGAGCTTATGATAGGGTGAATTTAGGAGAGCACCCGCTTTTCGGGGGTTGCATTTTACATAACACCCTCCTCGTTTTATGCAGCAAAGAACAGTATTTCCTATCTTTTCAAGTTCAGCTCGATTGAGAAAAAAAAACGAACAGGATGAAAAACGCAATGTCAACTACCATTAGCAGCGAAAAAACGGGCAGAAACATCAACACAGTTTGCAGCGCGAAATCGAAACGTCAGCTAAGGTCGAGACTCGGGAGAATTTAGACCGTCGAAGTCGCGGATTCTGTTGTGATTTGACGGTTAGAATCCTCCCGAGCGAAATCCTCCCGTCGAAGTCGCGGATTCTGTCGCGATCATGACGGTCGTAGGTGCTGCATAACTCAGCATGGATTGGCCAACGTCGATTGGTTCGTGAGTTTCGTTTTAGCGGATGCTGTACCTCGCTAACAGTCGCTCCGCGCATTTTTGAACGCACATGGCCTGAAACACGCAAATTCAAATTGCATTTTACAGAACACATGGGTACTATATTTTTCCGGGCCACTGTTAACACCCAGTCATTTTTTTAGTGAATTTTTATATACATCATAGGGTGTTATATACGGGGGATTACAATAGGCTAGGTAGGAATAGGAGCCATGAATATGGTGTGAGATTAGATCTAGGAGGTAGGAAAGTGTCGAGAGAGAAGAGAGTCTCGACTAGAAGAGAATGAGGTACAAGAAGGGGGTTATCCCCTCTACAGTAGGATGCAGTTAGTAGCTACCAAGCCTACAATAATTATAAAATATAATTTTAATACTGGCCAGTGCACTCGCGTTTAATTGGCCAATTCGAATTGGAATGGTCGGGGATTTTTTTCGTGGAAGGTCCCCACATCTGAAAGTTGTCACTGCACATCGTCGGCAAATTTGTTTTACTCGTTTCTGCAAAGCTTGACCACTGCCATAATTTAACTCGATTGTCTTGACTTCGGGTCCGCGCGGGCACAGATAAAATTATCGAATACGTTCGGCCACGTAACTTCTGTTCGCCCGGGAGACTGTCGCACGTGCTACTCCTCGTGCCCCTTCCCCTTCCCGTTAAAATTACCAGCGAATGGCCCCGTGGTTTGGGGCGCCTCGGGACTCGGAAGTGTTGGATGTGATGCCGCATGTAGGCTTGGTGGTCTCGAACGTAATTCGAACCTGAAATGTCGGGCCGAGCCTGGACTTCCGAAAGTCAGGGCTGTACTCGATGTTAGCAAGGCTCGATAAGGAGAATGGATTTTCCTTACAGTTTTGATGTTGTGTACTTACTTTCCCTAAGGGGCTGTTCTTATGCTCCGGGATCAGCATCAGGCTCGCGTGGAACCGATTTGAAGCGTACTGAAATGTGATTTCAACACTTGCATCGCGCAGTACGGCGTAACTCTGAGCCTGATCCCCGTTCATTAAATGACGCCCTAATACAGTTCTCACTCGTTTTTTCGCGCCTCCTCAATCTCAGCCAAAGGGCCTTTCATGACATACTCTCAGCCAATCAAAGGCTTCCGCGTCGCTGCCCTCGACATCCCACTCCACACCACCCACACCCACACTCCATTCCAGGTGAATTGCAAGATCGCCTTGCCAGTTCAGTTCCAGAATTCACATCTCATCCATTCCCACTCAGTTCCAGACTCTACGCATTGCCCTCAGAATTCACTCTCTCAATTCGCCGAATCGGCCGCATCGTCCGTCGCCGTCTCCCCATGCTGCCTGTACGCGCCCTCTCCGCCGCCTCCCCCGCCTCGCTCGCAGCACGCCACGTGCCAGCAATCCGCACTCCCCGCTCCCCCGCCCCGCTCTCCGATCCGCACCCGTCTAGAAATCCCCCGCTGCACTCTCAGCCGACGCCACTCCGGCGTGCATGTTTTCCCTCGAATCGCCTGCTCGCGCTGCCCGGAGCAAGCGGCAAGTCAACGATACGTGGAATCGGATCGCCAGCAGTGCGATCACTCGCACGAACGGACGGTCACCTCCTCTCTTCCCCTACTGTATCTGCGGCAAGGGGCCCTTCCGCCGTGTCTCCGCGCGCCATCCTGCCCCGCATGGCCGGCGCAACCGAACAGCGCGGATCCTCGGCCGCGGCGACTCTGGCTGCCGCCGCTGCGACAGCGGCGACGTCGCCAGTGCCGTCGCTGGAGGAGCTCCGTGTGGCAGCGGAGGAGCGCGCGGGCGGGCCTTTGGGGCAGCGGGAGCGGCTGTCGAAGGCGACGCAGCGGCTGTTCGGCGCGGCGGAGAGCGACGTGCGCGTGACGCTGTTCCGCGATAACTCCGCGTGGTGCCCGTACTGCGAACGGGTGTGGCTGCAACTGGAGGAGAAACGGATCCCTTACGTGTGAGTTCAGCTGTGTGCGTGCGTGCGTGAATGCGTGCGTGCGTGCGTGCGTGCGTGCGTGCGTGCGTGCGTGCGTGCGTGCGTGCGTGCGTGCGTGCGTGCGTGCGTGTGTGCGTGCGTGCGTGTTTTCATGGTATGGTATGAATGCCATGCATGTCCACCTTCCCTGCCCCACACCCGTCTACGTCGCCCCCCCTTCCCCTCCCTTCCCACCCACCCCCACCCCCACCGTCACCCCACTCTCTCCAATTCTTCCTCACCCCCCAACCCCCCGCGATGACACGGCGCAGGGTGGAGAAGATCAACATGCGGTGCTACGGCCCCAAGCCCGACTGGTTCCTGCAGATGGTACCCTCGGGACTGCTGCCCGTGCTCAAGGTGGGTCTGTGGATCAGGGGCCACGTTTGAGTGTGTGCGTATGTGGTGGGAGGGGAGGTGGGGTGGGGGGTGGGCATGCTTGTGTGTGCGCGTGTGTGTGTGTCTGGGGGCGCGTGCTTGTGTGTGTCTGTGTTTGGCGGAGTGTCTTGTGTGTGTGTGGGGGGGGGGGGGGTGGGTGGGTGGATGGGTGGGTGAGTGTATGTGTGGGGGGGAGGGTGTTGCGCGCGCTTGTGTGTGCGCGCTCGCCCTCGCGAGAGCGTTTGAGTGTGGTTGCTCTGCCCAACTTCCCAGGCTGCGGATCCGGTGCCCTGAGCACCACAGGGTTACTGCCACACCCGCGTGCCTCTCCTACCGCGCCATTGCTGCTCCACGCCTGACCACACTCGAGGCGAGACATAGGGAGATCATCTCACAGTGCACCATGGGATACCACAAGCAAGCCTGCCAATGTCCTCCTGGGCACATGTGGAATTCGGCATGCCAGCTGGGCTCGCTCAAACTGCCACATGTGCTTCTGTGCTGCCTGCAAGCGCGGCCTCGTACCGTTCTCTGCCCACCACCTGCCACTCCCCTCCTCATGTCCATCCTCCCTGTCCCCTTCCCCTTCCGTTCCCCTTCCCTTTCCCTTCCATTACCCTTCCATTACCCTTCCATTGCCCTTCCATTACCCTTCCATTACCCTTCCATTACCCTTCCATTACCCTTCCATTACCCTTCCATTACCCTTCCATTACCCTTCCATTACCCTTCCATTACCCTTCCATTACCCTTCCATTACCCTTCCCCTGCCTTCCCCTTCCCTTCCTGTGCCTCCCATCTCCCGTCCCCTCTCTCACCTGCCCCCCCACCAGCTGGACGACAGGGTGATTACGGAGTCTCTGGACATCATGTTTGTCTTGGAGCGCGCCTTCCCCGATCATACACCGCTGCTGCCGTCCCCATCTGACCGCGCGGCCTCGCAGCGCGTGGAGAAGCTGCTGCGCCTGGAGAGGCAGCTGGCGGGGGCGTGGCTGCAGTGGGCGCGTGTGGGGGACGGAGGGGGCGGACTCATGGGGGGAATGTTTAGGAGGGGAGGGGGAGGCGGAGGGGGAGGGGGGGCGGGACAGCGGATGTTTGAGGAGGCGCTGGATGCTGTTGACTCGGCGCTGCAGGAGGGCGGTGGACCGCTGTTCATGGGGGACCAGGTGATGGGCCGTGGGTGAGATGAGATGGGGTGGGATGGATGCCATAGTGGTGCCTATGGCTGCTCATTTCGGTTGGCCTAACTGGTTTCTGCGTATGTGTATGGGCACTGTGAGGATCCTTGTTGTGGTTCAGCAATCTATCTTGGCTCCACCGCCAGCATGTTCTGCATGCATGAATGCACCACTCTCGTCCACCCCAACTCCTCTTGTCTCGGCTCCCTCCCCTCATCCCTGCACTGCAAGCAACACCAACCAATTTCTCATGAAGGATGCCCTACTCTCCACCAATCAACTCTACCCCTCGTACTTTCCGCAAGCACCCTAACGTCCGCCTTTCTCTTCCCCTTCCCACCTCTCCCCTTGTCCAGCTGCGGTGCACCTCTCCTCATCAACTCCCCGCTCCTTGAGCGACTCTTGACATGCCTCTAACGGATCTCCCCTAAGGCATGTTTTACATGACATCTCCTTTCTCTCTCTCCCCCCCCCCCACACCCCGGCTCCCCCTTCCCCTCTCTCCTCCCTGCAGATGTCCCTGGTGGATGCTGTCTACGCGCCGTTCCTCGAGCGCACAGCCGCCAGCATCCCCTTCTGGAAGGGCCTCACAGTGCGCGGCAACCCGCGCTGGCCTGCGCTCTCCCTCTGGTTCGACGCCATGGACTCGCGCCCCACGTACCTCGCAATGAAGTCCGACGACTTTACCATCACACACACGCTCGAGCCGCAGATCGGCCCCGTGGTTCTCGCAGACGCGGGGGCGGCCCACCGGGATTATATCGAGGGGCGGGATGGGAGCGGGGCGTGGGACCTGCCGCTACAGCCAGAGGTCACGGCGTGGGGGGAGGACGATGGGACGGGCGGGGCGGGGCGGGAGGCGCAGCGGGAGGCGGTGGAGTCGATTATTCTCAACCACGAGTTGTTGGTCTCTTTCTGCCTTAGGGCGCTGAGGGACAAGTCGTTTCCACGTCAGCAGGCGATGCTGATTGGAGGAAGGCCGCGCCTGCAGCCGCCGTCGGATGCTGAGCTTGAGGCTGCCCGGGAGCGGCTGGCGCCAGGTGTCAGCGAGGCGTTGCGCCACGTTGCGCACGCTCTGCTGGAGGGCACAGAAACGTTGGGAGCAGCAGTGCCTGCAGGGGTGCTTGGATCATTAAGTGGGGAGGAGGAGGAGGTGGCGGTATGCGTGGCATATTTGAGGGACAGGGTAGGGGTGCCTAGGGACCTGACATACCCCGCTGCAAGGCAGCTGAGGGCACACCTGCAATGGATGGTGAGGCTGCTGGGCTCCAAGGTGTAGGTCGATCTTGCTGTGCCGTGCTGATTGCCGTAGTGTGTGGGGTGGGGGGGCTTCCTCGCATCAGGTGGAGATGAGATGAGAGTATGGTAGTGCTGAGTTATACTAGTTAGTAAGGCTTCTGATTACCGCAAGTCTATGGTAGTAACTGTTAAATTATATATTTGTATCAGAAAATTGAATGATGGTAAAGTGAGAGTACACACAAATATATCTAAGTTATGTATCCTCTAAGAGGTGACTCTATACAGTCTATACAAACATGACAAATACACATGTTTGACACACCCCCTAGACTGCATAGAGGAATACCCTACAAGCAGCTCAGGGCGGCACTACTAGTCCAACCTCTGAGGCAAGGGTCTGAGCGACCGGTCAGAAGGAGTACAGACAAGGCAAGCACAAGAGCAGGGCGGGGCGGCACTACTAGTCCAGCCACTGGGAGAGGACACAAGTCCAGTCTGAGTATACATATAAAGGACAGTACAAAGTCAAGGTCCTAGCAAGTGAGAGGCTACAGGAACTAGACCAAGCTGTACACAGTGCCGCTGATGATCTTTAGGCGCAAGCGCCTTCGTAAAGATATCAGCCGTGTTGGCACCTGAGGCCAAGTGTACTACGCGAGCCTGACGTCGCTGCTGTAGCTCACGCAGGAGGAAGTACCGCAGCTGAATGTGCTTCGCTCTGCCCTCGAGTCGAGGCTCCTGACACAGGAGGATCATGGCCCTGTTGTCAGCGAACAGGACCGGGGCAGAGCTAGGCCGCTCACCTAAGTCAGTGAGCAAGAAGGTCAGCCAGCGGAGCTCCTGTGCCGCCATGGCACCGGCGTAGATCTCAGCCTCACAGCTGGACTGTGCAACAGACGAGGAGCGAGTAGCTCTCCACGAGACGGCACCTGAGCCAAGGCTGAAGCAGTAGCCCTGGGTAGACCGGAGTGTCTCAGCGTCGTCTGCCCACGAAGCGTCTGTGTGCCCAGTAAGGACCGCTGGCCTGCGTCCTCCTAGCACTAACCCCATGCCCGATGTACTAGCAAGATAACGCAGAACCCTCTTAGCGGCAGACCAGTGCTGCGGTCGGTGTCTGCCTGTGGCCACAAAGCGAGCCAGGATGCTGAGAGGGTATGCGAGATCTGGGCGAGTGCAAGTCATCAGGTACATGAGGCAACCCACCAGCTCTGCGTAGGGGCCGCTGGGCTCTACCAACTCCTCAGGCACTGGAGCGGAGAGCCTGTGGTCTACAGGCAGAGGGGTGGGCTGTGCAGAGGAGAACTGAAGGCTGAACCTCTGAAGGACCTCGCGCACCAAGTGTGACTGAGTCAGGGTGATGGTGCGCGCAGCTCTGTCCCTGGAGATCTGCAAGCCAAGGTAACGGCGCAGCTCTCCAAGGTCAGTGCACGTGTGTCTCTTCAGCAGCTCTGCCTTCACGGAGGCCAGCGCGTCCCTGTCTGCTGTGGCAAAGACCAGGTCGTCGACGTAAACGAGGATGTAGAACGGAGTCTGGCCAGCACGAACGAAGAGTGAAGGGTCTGCAGAAGACGGAAAGAACTGCAGGTCAGCAAGCGTAGCACGCAGAGTGTCGTGCCACTCACGGGGAGCCTGGCGCAGGCCGTAGACGGGGCGCCGCAGGAGCCACTGGGTCCCAGGAGGGAAGGTGCCAGTAAAGCCCGGAGGGCGGCGCAGGTAGACCTGCTCGTGTAGGCTGCCCTGAAGGAAGGCAGTGGAGAAGTCGAGGGAGTGAAGCTCGTAGTCACGCTGAGCAGCTAGGTGTAACAGAACCCGAAGAGTAGTCATCTTCGGGGTCGGAGCGAAAGTCTGGAAGAAGTCCACCCCCTCGCGCTGACTGAAGCCTCTAGCCACATAGCGCGCCTTGAAGACAGGCGGCTCTCCAGGAGGGCGCTTCACCTTGAAGAGCCAGCGGCCATCGACTACGTTCACCCCAGGTGGGGGAACTGCGTCGACGAAGGTGCCGGTGGATCTCCAAGATGCCATCTCCTGCTCCATGGCAGCTATCCACTGCGAGGCCCAGGGTCCCGAAGTCGCCTCAGCGTAAGTGCGAGGGGTCGGGATGTCGAAAGCGTCTGGGTCACCCTCAGGGACTAGCAGCATGGAACAGAGATGGGGAGCAGCCTCGGAGAGGAAAGCAAGCTCGAACTGGCGGTCCTCCAGGACGTCACTGCCAAGGGCAGGAGCACCCCCGACAGACGGAGGACAGGCAGGGTCAGAGACCAGAGCGGTGGCGTAGTCAAGGCGGCGGGTAGAGGCGAAGTCAGCGACAGCAGCGACAAGAGCGTCAAGGCACGAGACTGGAACAGACGGGTCGGTAACGAGAGAGGCAAGGACCCGAGGAACGAGAGGACGAGCGGCACGAAGGTAGTCGGACAGCGGGGGGGGCGCAACAACAAGGGAGGACGGAGGAGGCGACGGCAGAAGGGGAGGACGAGACGCGTGTGAACGAAGCAACATAGGGTGGGAGCGCAGGACAGGCGAGGCAGGACGAGCACGGGAGGGACGGTGAGACCAGACGTGCGATGGAGGAGTCGGGTCAGGAGACAGGGGAGGGGACACAGGAGGGGAACGAGGGGGGAGACGGGCCGGGGACGAGTCCGGCGGAGGGAAAACAGGGCCGTAGACAGGAAGAGGAGGAGACGGTCGGGGAGGAACCGACGCAGGGTCGGGGGACGGAAGGCCGAGCAGGCGAAGGGCGGACACCGGCGGGGACTGCTGCTGCGGCGGCACAACGGCGACACCTGGACCGCAAGCTGCTCCTCGGCTACCACCGGCACTCTCCACACCCGCACCCCCAGAGGGACCACCCTCAGGGCGACCGGGACGAGCACCCCCAGAGTCAGCGAACGGGGGCTGCGACTGCGGCGGCGGCGGCGACGGCGACGGCTGCAGAGGCGGCAGGGGCGGCGGAGGAGGGGACTGGGGAGGGGACACCTGGGGAGGGGCGGCCGGCGAGGACTGCACCGGAGGGCCACCAGAGTCAGAAGACTCCTCAACCGGGTCCACGGACGGAAGGGGGGTGACATGGGAGACACCAGAGGGGGCGGGACGGGGAGGAGGAGGAAGAGGGGCAGGGACTACCGGGGAAGGGGTGACCAGGAACAGGGGGGGGGTAACCGGGGGACCACGGTGGGGGAAGCGGCGGTAGTAGGAGACGGACTCGTCAAAGGTGACGTCACGAGAGTGAAAGAAGCGGTGAGACGGCGGGTGGTAAAAGTGCCAGTCGGACGCGTCAAGGGGAAAACCGAGGAAGACGCAGGGAAGGGTGCGGGCAGTGAGCTTGTCCGTGCCGGAGGCACGGACGTGAGCAAGGCAGCCCCAGACGTGGAACGCAGACGCGTCACCAGGAGACCCAGTCCAAAGACGGGTCGGCGAAACCTGCGGCTGCTGAGGGTGCGGCCACAGGTTAAGCTGGTGAGAAGCGTAGCGCACAGCGAACGGCCACAGAAAATGGGGTGCACCGGCATGGACCATGGAGGTGCGAGCGACCTCCATGACCAAGCCGATGCGTCGCTCAGCGACCCCATTCTGCTGTGGGGAGTCCGGTAGGGTGAACGTCTGGGTGATGCCCTCCGCACGACAAAAGCGACCAAGGACACCTGAGGCAAACTCGCCACCACGGTCTGAGTGAAGACGCAAGACAGGGAGACCGCGGTGGACACGCGCAGAGACAAGCCAGGGGATGAGGGCGCCAGGCACGTCGGCCTTGCGCTCCAGGGGAAAGACTGTGGTGTAACGAGTGAAGTCGTCGACAAGCACAAGGAAGTAGCGCTCGCGACGCGGCCCAGGGACGGGGGCGGGGCCCCAGACGTCCAGGTGCAGGGTCTGCAGCGGCGCGACGGTAGGGGGGAACGAGGAGGAGTGAGGGGCACGGCGAAGCCGACCCTCGACACAAGGCGTGCAAGGTGGAGCTGGGGAGGAGGGAAACGCGGGGAGTGAACCTGGGAGACCAAGGACAAGGCCGTGCTGGGACATGTGACGCAGACGCGGGAGCGCAGGGTGACCTAGGCGGTGGTGCCACAGGAGGGTCGGGTGAGTGAGGGAGCGACAGGAGCAGGCAGCAGCAACCTGGGTAGACACAGCCACCTGAGGGGGCGCTCCAGCCGGGGGGGGCACGGTGTCCAGAGTGAACAGGCCGGACACCGGGTCCCGGGGGAACGTGGACAGGGGGGCACCAGTGGCGGCCTCGGTACAGACAGCATACCGCTCGTGACCAGGGAACGTAGTGGTGACGCCAAGGTCCTGGAGGCAGCCGACACCGACTAGGTTCCTGGAGAACGAGGGGATATGCAGACCTGTAAGAGAGCCCGAAGGAACCGCCGGACAGGGAAGGGTGGTGGAACTGCGGGCGACTACCGGACCGCCGGAGGGGTCAGCAAGAGAAACGGCAGCAGGAACAGGAAGCGGCGTCAGGGTGGTGGAGTCGCGGAAGAAACACCGAGAGGCGCCAGAGTCCAAGGTGAAGGAAAGCGAAGCCGAGGGGTCTGGCGACGGAACGACGGCAGAAGCACCAAGACTACACAAAGCAGGGGATCCTACGCCTGACGCAGCAGGGGGGGCTAAGCTAGGCACACCTACACTAGGCAACAGTGAGTAATAAGTCGGAAGCACACTAGAGTCATCAGCACACATCACATGCAGAGCAGAAACAATGGCATCCATGTCCATATCAAAGATCTGAATCTGACGACTAAGCAAACTGTGCCAGTCCGGGAGGTCTGGCGACGGACCGAAACGCTGACGAAAGAGGTCGTCCAGGCGACGAAAGCAGCGGGGAGTGGAGTGACCGATCTTACCGCAAACGAAACCGCGGCGAGGACCGGTCTGGATCTGGTACTGACAACGCCCGCCGGCAGAGCCACCATGCGGCACACCACCACGCGTTCGTCCACCGCCAGCGCCGGGCCACCCTGGCGGGAGAACACTCGTCTGCCGCGTCTGCGACGGCTGCTGCGGCTGCGGCGAAGGCTGCGACTGCGGCGGCTGCTGCGGCTGCTGCAACTGCAGGGGCGGCGACTCAGCTGGACTGGGCAGGGTCCCCTCGTCCGCTCCAGCACCAGGCGACCCGACCCCACCACTACCCCCGCCCGCACCCCCGCCGCCCCCTCCGCCGCGCCCAGCCTTGGGGCGGCGGCCCTTCCCAGAACGGGCCTGCGCTGCAGCAGCAGTCTCAGCCACTGCGGCAGAGCCGTCG